TACTATAAGCCGAAGTGGAAAATTATGGAAGGATAACGTTGCCAATATTATTTCAATGTTCACAGTGCGAACTGCATATGTCAGCAGTTCAAAATTTCTATTGCTCCACAATACCAATGTCACGGTGTTAGAATACAGAATGCACTTTTCAATAATACTAAATACAGTAAAATAGTTTATTTTGCACATTACACGTCTCTATTCTGCATTTTGCATACTAGACAACTGCATAATAGAACTTGGCATATTAGAACATATACCTTATATGGGATCTATGACGAAGCTCATTTGCATACGGAAAAAAGTCCGGAATAGGACGGAAATTAATAATTTACATGGTCCATCTACAAGGTCAAGGTCAGTAAAAGGGGCAGAGATCAAGCTGGCATACAATAATTCACCAGACAATAAGTCTGCTTACCATTCAATAAGGGCGAATCAAGCTATCATGCAAGCCCCACATTTCTACTTCATAACCCCGCACCCCTTTCACTTCAACTTTAATCTTTTTATTCTTTTCTTCAAAGTAGGGTGGCGAAGTGGGTAAGATGTGGCTTGCTAGCCTGGAGGTTCCGTCGTAGCACACTGTATGGTGTATGCCCATCTCCATTAGCTCGGTCAGAGCAAAACAGTAGGACGTTAAACCACATATCATTTCATTTTTTCAAGATATGTGCCAGAAAATTATTTAAATATTTGAAAAGAGAAATGAACGTTCGTTTAAGTGATTCGTAACATATCTGGAATTCGTATTAAGACAGGTACAGGTATGTTTACTTTAAATACCCCTATCCCTGTCATTTAACAGAGTTTCATACCACCCGACTTTGAGGGGGGTTGGATGGCCGAGTGGTTAGCGCGTACATGTTGTATCATAAGGTCTGTCATTGGGTCAACTGGTGTGGTTTCGAAGGTTAGTGCGTGCATGTTGTATCACAAGGTCTGTCATTGAGTCAATGGGCGTGGTTTCGATTCCCGGTTGTACGTGACAAGGAGTAGGGTCACCTGTCCAACCTGGTGGGTTTTCTCCGGGTTCTCTGGTTTCCTCCTACTACTTAAGACACCTACACGCAAGTAAATTCTTGAAACAAATTGAACCACATGTTAGTACCAAAATGACCTAGAGTGGAGTTAAACACCATTTCTCTCTCTCTCCCCACCCGACTTTGATCATTTTTCTTTACCCTTGTCAGTGATGCAGGACAACTGTCTAATCCTTCAAATGTACACATTAGCGTGCATGTTAAAGATCCCCTGGCAGTTGGAATTAGATACAAGGTGCTAAATGGTTAGCACATGCGCGCTGTATCATAAAGTCTGTCATTGAGTCAACTGGCGTGGTTTCGATTCCCTGGTTGTATGTGACAAGGAGTAGGGTCGCCTGTCCAACCTCGTGGGTTTTCTCCGGGTTCTCCGGTGTCCACCCACTGCTAAAGACCCCTACGCGCAATTGAGTTATGGAAATAAAATTGAAGCATATGTTAGTCCCGAAATGACCTAGTTTGTGTTGAGTGGATGTTAAACCCCATTTCTCTCTATCTCTCTCTGTCATACATCAAAATTCACAGGGCCTATAAGATTCAAATTGTCAAATAACTTAATTGATTACTGCTTGGGGCTGTAACATTTAAGAATACTGGACATGTAGCCTGATACACCAGAATTCACAGGGCCAATTAGATTCAAATTGTCAAATAACTCTGTTACTGTGTTGCAGCCATAAATAATATAAGCCATCACCATCAGTGTGAGTGTCAGATACGTGAACATTGTAAAAATAATAATTAAAGTGTTGAAATGATTATATTTTATATTATTTTGCCCAGGGTATTTTTTAATATGCCAATATACATAATATGTTTTATAAGACATGGTAGTAATTATGTTTTACCTACCCCCCCTCCCCATCCTCTCCCGAGTCGAATTCAAAATACTCTGGCGTATTTTAATTATTGTTCCTCCGGATATCTTTCCTCCCCCCCCATCCTCGAGTCGAATTAAAAATAGGCTACTCTAGCGTATTTAATTACTATGTATAGGCCTACAGTAAAAACGATGGACGCCTTTAAAGGAGCTAAATCACTAATATTTGGGACCTTGAAATTGACACAAATAAATGGGTCACAGCTCATATAATAATGTAATATCAATGTATATAAACTGATTTACATTACATTTCTTTTTTAACTGTAATTTCTAAATATGTTGGGCAAAATATGGCAGAAGTCTCAATCGAATGGCAATCTCTAGCATCTGGTTATTCCAATCTACACTGATAGTATTTATGCTCTCCAGATAAGAATATGGCATCACCGTTTGACATGACGGGCACATTTAATTACCCAATAACTGCCCAATAACACCCAATAACTGCCCAATAACACCCAATAACGGCCCAGTAACACCCAAGAACTCCAAAATAACAACCAATAACTACAAAATGTTGACTTTGGAAACACAAAATAACAATTTAGTTGAATTTATCTTGTTACCTCGTCAGGTAGCACCTTTGTGCGTAAAATGTTTGGCAGGTAGTTTTAATTCCTTTACAGACTAATTATTTTATATTTTCATATGAAACATTTTTAAATATGTGTATGGTTTTTTTTATAAAACATTGGTTTGTAAAGGAATTAAAATTAAACGCCAAGTATCTCGTTACCTCGTCAGGTAGCGCCTTTGTGCGTAGAATGTTTGGCAGTTAATTAGAATTTCTTTACAGACTAATTATTTTATTATCTTTATAATATTTTCATATGAAACATTTTTGAATATGTGTATGTTTTAATAAAATATTGGTTTGTAAAGGAATAAAAATTAACAGCCAAGTATCTCGTTATCTCGTCAGGTAGCGCCTTTGTGTGTAGAATGTTTGGCAGTTAATTAGAATTTCTTTACAGACTACCCAGACAGCACACCATATTTGGCCCAGATCTGGCCCAGATCTGGCAACATGTGGCAAAATGATTGGGCCGGATCTGAGTACAGAATCTGCTATAGTAATTAAAATCTAACTACTTTGTAGCATGATACCCAACACTCAGGCTGTGTTCAAATAAACTTCTTTCAAGAATAATTTATTATTTTTGTTTTAAAGATTTACATTTACTGGGGCCTGTTTCACGAAATTTTAACTAAAGATGAAATCTAAATTTTAGTAGATACTTCAATTTTGATTGGCTAAGCACTAAAATCAATCTAATATTATCCAATCAAATTACTAAAATTTGGATTTTATCTTAGTTAAAATTTCGTGAAACAGGCCCCAGGCTTTTGGGGGAGGGTGGTGGGGGAGGGTGGGGTGAGAGGATTCCATTTATATTATATACAGTACCGGTACATTAAAAAAAATATTATTTTAAGACTTTAATATTTATTTGTAATAAAACTAATATAGAACAAGGGAAAATTCTACTGGAAACTAGATGTCATATTCTGAGCCGAAATTTATTGTGTTGATATTTTGAGGCATTTGGCCAGTTAGATGTGGGCCATCTCTGGCCCAGATATGGCAAACTTTTCACATAATATTATTTTTTCAGATGTTTTGAATATAAAACAAAAAATTTAAAACTGTTAAACAAACTGACAAGATATTCTTAGATACCAGTTACAAAAATAAGTTTAATTCATCAGTAGTGAGCCAATAGTTGCCAAGTGTTAGCCAGATGCTGCCAGATGTGGGCCATACTTGGGCCAAAGCGGAGTGGCTGTCTGGGTAATTGTTATGTCGTCGGGTAGCGCATTTTTGCGCTAAATTATAGAAAGTTAATTTGAATTTCATCTGTAATAACGTTTTGTTATTGCAACCGCCTGACGATACCCATGGAGGGGTTGAAATAGTTATTCCATATTTGACGCCCATGTATAATTAAAACGAATTGCAACGAAAGCATACATTAGTTTCTTGTAAACAAAAATCACATACACGAGTTATCTCCCTTCAGGCGAGTGAGCGTAAAACTCTGATTTGGGCTCAACGTTGCTATAGGCTTTTAAATTCAACTAATTTGTTATTTTTTATTTCCACAGTCAACAATTTGGTGTTATTGGGCAGTTATTGGGTGTTATTGGGCAGTTATTTGGTTTTATTAATTTCTTGTCAACAAAAATCACATACACGAGTTATCACCCTTCAGGCGAGTGAGCGTAAAACTCTGATTTGGGCTCAACGTTGCTAGGCTTTTAAATTCAACTAATTTGTTATTTTTGTATTTCCACAGTCAACAATTTGGTGTTATTGGGCAGTTATTGGGTGTTATTGGGCAGTTATTTGGTGTTATTAATTTCTTGTCAACAAAAATCACATATACAAGTTATCTCCCTTCAGACGAGTGAGCGTAAAACTCTGATTTGGGCTCAACGTTGCTAGGCTTTTAAATTCAACTAATTTGTTATTTTGTATTTCCACAGTCAACATTTTGGTGTTATTGTCCAGTTTTTGGGTGTTATTGGGCAGTTATTGGGTCTTATTAATTTCTTGTCAACAAAAATCACATATACGAGTTATCTCCCTTCAGGCGAGTGAGCGTGAAACTCCGATTTGGACACAAAGCAGCGATGCTTCTTAAATTCATCTAAATTGTTATTTTGTGTTTCCAAAGTCAACATTTTGTAGTTATTGGTTATTATTTTGGGGTTATTATTTTGGAGTTATTGGGTGTTATTGGGCAGTTATTGGGTGTTATTGGGTAATTCGACGCGCCGGACATGACTTAAATTGTGGAATATGTCTAGCCTTATTCTTCGAGTCCCTGGTTATAAATGGCTCCGAAATGTTTATTTTAATTTTGTCTTAAATTTAGTTAAATAGTGGATAGAAGTCTACCTTTTCGCGGTAAATTCACAACATCAATGTTGATTTGAATTGACAAATAATTCGTGTTTTCAGCGTGTACAATTTGGAAAATATTGAGTTACAGACTTAGCTATCGTTTTGGACTGCAGGTTATATAATATCAACTCTAGTCAGAACAGGGCGGAGACATCAAATTTAGTAACGCGCGAAGTAAACAGCGCCCTCTGTAAACTGACTGACATAATACTGGCAATATTCGATGATTACTGTTACATGTGTTTGTGCTGTCTGCCCTGTGTTTGAAAAGAGGTTGATGTTAGCGTGGATAGGCCTAGTATGTATATTATATGAAGAAAGCAAATATCAGCCCTCAGTGCCGTTGTTTATGATAATGAGGAATACAAACTAAGTTATGGGCGAGTTTGTGTGAAGCGGATAATATTTTGGTCACCGTGGCTTCGTGGTGAACTTCATCCTTCACACGAAAGTGAGATTAGACAGGCGGTTGGATACGATTGACGGCTCTTATGGTCGGTGTCGGTGTCATAAAAGGACGACAGGGGAAAGTTTACGTAAATTGGTTATTAACAGGACTACTTCCTGATTACCCTTAGGAAATCTCTTTTATTTAATGGTAAGTTTTTGTCTGGAAGTTGTTGTACCAAAAGCATCTCTCCTGTTTATTTAATTCAGCTTGAAAGTAGGCCGTCTTATTGTCATTGTGATTTTACCGTTATAAATTGGTTCAATGACTCGGCCGATGCTAACAATAACCCGCGACAAAAGCCGTTAAACTTGTCATTGCACGATCTTTGTTTTCATGAACCCTACGACACTATAAAACATAAATCAGTAAATTTCGCCTATTTAAAAAAACCCCATTGTTTTCTTCAGCAATAGCCTATATAGGCTTACTGCAATAATATCATAATCTAAACAATATTGAACAGATGGGTTCCAATAATGAACCAACAAAATAATGCTTTTGTTCATGAGAATGGATTTCATATTTTTTTATGATGGGACAATAATAAATTTAACCATATTATTTTGAGATTTAATGAAGATAGGTTATATTACCGGGGCATATTCTGATTATAATACATGTAGATAAGTAAATAACCCAGTAAAGCATAAAGCTGTATTAAAGTATTATTATAATAAGCATATTTCTAATATTAAATAAACAGTAGGCTAGAGTGTGTTAATAGTTCCGGGGTGTAGCAGGTTATACATGATGTATAGGATATGTTTTTTTTTTATCTGTACAGGAAGATATTATTTTTAGATATCCTTTTATGATATTTCATTGTTAAAGCATCAAATCTTTGAGTGGGATTTGTTTCTATAATTAATAATGTAATGCATTGTTTTGACTCAATAAGCTAGATTAATATTAATAGTATGTCATGTACTGTAAAACACTATAAAAATATTATTAACCCTATATCACACGAGATTTTTATATACCGGTAATCTACAGCTTATAAATGGTATCAAACAATAATACACATTACAATTACACAATACACGTTACAAATACAGTAAACTTTTTATAAGTCAGATCTAAATGGACTGACCAATTTTATCCGAGTTACACAAAGATCTGAGTTAGCCGAAGACTTAGTTCAGCTCTGAACGTAGGTCTCATTATCGCCCTGTACAGGAATCGTCCTATTGAATCCTTGTCGAAATAAAATTGGTTCAGTTAATTTTACTGGACAATTTTTTAGTGCTAAACGGTTGTGTGTCAGTCTCCGTGAACGTCCGAGCAATGTAAAGGAACATTTTAGTGAGAAAATAAGACCTTGCTTACCTCGCTAGAGTCAGTATGTGCAACATGACATGCTGTTAAAAATCCGTCCCCTTCTGCTAAACATTGAGGTCTAGATGTGGGGTGGCGTACGGATTTACGTGGCTTGGCCATATAATATAAGACAAAACAAAATTTAGGTAAGCTGGGGTGGAAAATTAGAATCGTTGAAAAGCTGAGAAACTTCAGTAAATTATTGCTTTGCCTAGCCCAATAACAATCAAATTTTTCGAAAATTCCAATTTCATTTTGTCTTATATGGCAGAGTTGCGCAAATTTGTGCGTTGCCCTGTATTTGGATTCAGTGGCATCAGCCTGGCCGTATTTTTAACAGCATGTTGTGAACATACTGCTGATCCGACTTAGGTGAAGGAAAAAAGCCGGAATTAGATCAAATGGACCAAACATTTTGATCCGAGTTAAGCAAAGATCCGACTTACGCACAGAAATTTAATAAGAACAAAGTGCAGGATCAAAGGGTCCAAACGATTTTATCCGAGTTGAGCGAAGATCCGACTTATGCAAGGTTTACTGTATAGCAAGATATTACATTTTAGTTACACAAATAGCCTGATATCAGAGTTACACTTTCTATAATACACACATGACTACATATTGTAATATGTCAAACAGTAATACACATTTCAATTCAGGACTAATATATGGTTCAATTTTATTTCAATAATTCGCTTCCGCATAGGGGTCTTTAGCAGTGGGAGGAAACAGGAGGACCCAGAGAAAATCCACGAGGTTGGACAGGAAGCAACCCTACTCCTTGTCACGTCTGTTGACTCAATGACAGACATTATGATATAGCGCGCCATCCCCCCCCCCCCCCCCTTTATCCACTAAGAACAGATACAGTCAACTCTTCACAGCATCTTACATGTGATTAAGCTAAGGGATCCACCTCAGGCTTAATATTACTAACATAAGATTATAGTAGTGTCACCGTCAACATAGGAAAACTGCATAGCAAAATACAGATAGAACAAATGATACTGGAATACAACACACAGTACATAATTATATTCCTAGAGAAGATGTACATGTAATATTAGAATGAAAAAAATGATATTCAACGAAAAAGTCAGGGAAATTGTATTCAAATCGAAAGTAAAATTTGTAAACAGACTTCCACTAACTCTACCAAAATGAAAATGTTTTCGAATAGTGTTTGTCACATTGACACATTGTATAACAAATTTTCAAAACTTTATTTCTCAATGATAATATAGATTTACTTCGTATTTATGCTAAAGATTCTTTTTGAAATAAACACTTTATGTACATGTATGTATGTAAAAATGTAGGCTACATTATTGTTCTAGCTGAATAAGTTCACCTACATGTACAAAGTAAATGGTCAAAATTTTTAAAGGATTTAAGACGGGCCCACTACAAACAACATGTTACAAGATACAACCAGATCAATCGTACTTATTGAAATAATTCAAGTGGATTAGGTTAAAGATCATTAAGTCAGGAAATGTTTAATGACAGGGGATGAAGCATACATGTACATTGTAGGTCACCATTTTGAACTAGGAATTTAATTTGGTATCAAATGAACAATACTTGTACAAAGGTCACTTTTTTAAACTTCTTTATTTCTTGTATAATAATAGAATTCTATGTTTTTTAGAGTTAAATTATAAATAGAGTTGATGTTTTGTGCAGGTGTTCCATTAGTTTGAATGTTTTTAAGCGATAGCAGTAGGAACACGAGAGAACTGGAGGAATGTAATATCATAAATGTATTGGAATTCTTTTCATACTTGGAGTCAATAAGGCAGAATGAAGGAAGTAGAAAATTCAAATTATAGCATTTTCGTTCTCATCTCCTTTTTATACGCCCACATTGAAATGTGGTCGTATATTGTCGTCGCCCCCATCCGTCCGTTGCATTTTTTCTGAAGATATCAATAATTTTGTCTTTAACGTGGAATATTTTTAAAACTTATAGAACATAGATACATGTATGGATAGGTAATTTATTTCACATCATTTAGTGATTAATTGTCTTTCTAAAATACTAGTTATGTCACTTAATGATGATAAACCTTTTATGGAATAGGTTTAAACATGTACATGTACAATGTTCAGTGTTCTATTTGGAGACCAAAGGGGGGGGGGGGAAGAAAGGCCTTCTAAGAGATGAGGGATTTATATTCTAATTTCAGCTTCTATACTTTTCATTATATTCTCCACAGCTTGTAGTAGGAATTTTTATTTTTGTGTTTTAAAGGGACAATAACACTCTTGCTGGCTTGACAGCTCCAGAAAATAAAAAAAATAGCCTTATTCTAAGTACTAGATGTGTTAGTGTCCCACCTGTTGTGTAAATTATCCATTAAATCCTATTTTACTTGTCAAAAAGGTTCAAAAATATTTTAAAATCCAAGTCACATTTGAAAATCCTTACGTCAGGCTTTTCAAATCATTTAGTTGAATTTTTCCAATTTTTTAAATTAGGTGTGTTAAGATGAAATTTGTATCATCAATTAATTGGAATATTGTAAAATAGTCCAATTTGTTGACCAAAATAAAGATTGGGACATATTATTCAGTTACAACAAGAGTGGTATTGAGCATTTAATGTGACTTACTGTAAAATACAGATGTGAGGTCATCCTTTGATGTTGGTGTACCATTGTTTCAAATAATGGTACAGGCAAAGTGCCAAGCGTATATTATTTATACTAGTTGAAATATTGGACCCGCATGACATATTTCATTGGAATACACATGCTGAATAGTTTATGTGTTTTATGTTGTTTAATGGTCTCGTGCAAGACTTTTCATAATATACAAATGTATAGATATAGCACTCGTGCAATATCAATATATTACTTATTAATGTCTTGCACTCGACCATTAAACTACACTTATTATTTTAAACTCCCATGGTCTGATATGATTTTAAAGTTATTTTTTTATTTGGCTGTAAGGAAGTTGTTTAAAGATATGGCAATATTATTTGAATTATATGGTAATATCATTGCTTTAAAGCAGAGGTTCATGTAAGAAAAACATTCTCTGGAAAATAAATTATTAAATATGTAACTCTAATAATTAAAAGGTTTATCTCCACTGAAAAATGTTATTAATACATTTAATTATGAAGATAGAAATTGGTAGTGAGCATTATTTGAAATAGGTCACATTCCAATGTTGATAGGTCTTATTTAAACACCAAAATGCTGCACATCCAGGCTTATCGTCTGAAAAGCCATTGTACTCTTGCATCAACAATTTGGTGATGTAACGATTAGTCTTGGTTTTGATTGGTTGAGAAATATTGATGGAATTAAATTATTGAATATTATATGCCCTTTTGGTCTTTAAAATTTAATATTTCTTTAATTTTTCAATGAATAAGCCTTTTTATACGCCCACATTGAAATGTGATCGTGTATTGTCGTCGCCTCCGTCCGTCGGTCCGACATCCACAATTGCTTGTGGACGCTCTAGAGGCTAAAGTTAATAATCGATGATTGACTTTAAATTTATACACAGTGTTTAAGGTCATGAGACGAAGAAGCCTATTGATTTTCGATAATTACTGCCAGAGTTGTGGCCCTTGATCACTTTTAAAAATCTTGTGACGCTCTAGAGGCTAAAGTTATCATCCGATTGACTTCAGATTGATACACAGAGTTTAAGATCTTGAGACGAACATGTATATTGATTTTCAATGAATTTTTATAAAAGGCTTGAACAGCTAAATCCATGATATTAAAAGTTTCGTATATTAAACGTTAGCATGGGGCAGAACTTTATAAAAAAAAACAAATTCTGCTAATGGTTTTCTGATAATG